AAAAGGTAATTTTGGTCTGGAACTCTTTGGATCAGGCTTATTTCTCTATTAAGGGAAAGCTTCATCATACAATGATATTTTGTCAAAATTTGCTCTTGGGCAAACATCAGGGGTAGGGGGGGCCTTTTCTCTTTCAACATGACAATGCCCTTGTGCATAAAGCAGATGCCCAAAACAATATTTTTGTGGAAAAATAATTCAACCTGCCCGGGGCTGTGTGGATGTAAATTATTTATTTAACTGAATTTCAGATTTGTAGAGCACAAAAGACTAAATCAAACAAGGCTAGAAAAACTTTATCATCTTCTTCACCAGAACTTTTACAGTTAAGTTGCAGCTGTTACATTAAAACTAAAAACTGTAATTTAGTAATGCAGTCATGACAAATGCGGCTAACTTTGCAAGTTGGCATCAAAATAAATGAACAAATAACTTACTCATGCTGTGACAGGCTGTCAAAACTGTGCATCCCAAATAGAAGCAATTCTGGTCAAGAGAAAGGATATCACTGTTAACAGCAGTTCAATTTAGGATCCAAAGGCAGAACACAGACAAGGAAACCAAGCTTGTGGAGATGTTAGCTGGAGATGGCTGAGCCTGAGTTGTCTAGTGGAGCAGGACGAGTGGATACAGCAGGTATGATGAAGAAGAAGCTGGACGAGGAAGGCAGACACTATAGACTGGAGTGATGAACCTGAGGCTCAGGCAAACACAAGGATTAACAGGGTTCAGGGGAACACAAGGGAAACACCGAAGGGCAGAAACTAGGATCTTGGATAAACCGAACGATCCGGCAAAGACTGGAGGGATGAGCCGGGGCTTTAAATACTGCAGCTGCCTGTAGGGTAGGGGTTGATGAGACGATGTGTTGCAGGTGGATCGGCAGGGGAAGGAACCGGATAGCCAATCCCAGCCAGACATACACACATATGGCAGAGAGAAAGACGAACAGGGGACAAGGGATAGAAGACACAGGGAATGAGATGACAATTACTATAGTTATACTTTGCCCTCCTCAGGTTGTCCAAACAGACAGGTGGTGAATCGCAGCTTCACAGCAGCTGACTGACCATAAGGATGGTCGGTGAGGATGAATGTGAGAATCTGAGCAGGTGCAGCTGAATTTTTTTTGCACCATTGTTAAAAAAAAAAAAAAAAAAAAGACATTAACAGCTTTAACTGATTGACTGATGTCACATCCCTGCACTTTTCACACGTTCCATGTGAGTTTGAATGAGGTGCTGTTCTTTCTCTCTCAGGGACACCAAATCTTCTCTGTGACTCTTTAATCATAACGGTCATTCAGACTCTGACCGGACGTGATTTCAACTACATGCACAGAATGTAAAATAGCACTGCCTCAGAGGAGCACGGCTGCATTCCAATACTGTAAAGACACATCCTTCAGTTTTTTTGTTTTTTTTTTAATCCTCTATTCTCTCCTTTGACTTTTCTGACTTTAGCGGCTACTAATGGCATATGCTGTCTTCTTGTAGTCCTCCATATGTAATTGTGCAGCTTTGAAAAGGCTGGATTAAAGACTGGTGTTACAACCCGGACTCAGGGGAAAGCAACATAAAGGATGAAACACAGTTAGGTCAAACAGGTTTAAGTATATTAGAGTGTAAAGTGTGCTGGCTGAGGGAGAGAGAGAGAGAGAGAGAAGGTGGAGGAAGGGCCTTTTGTTTGTTGGTCTGGACAGGAGGTTAATGGGCTTCCTGAAAATAAATAAATAAAAAAGAGCAGGTACACAGAAACACACCTTAACAGCTGGATATCAAGTGAACACATGAAAGCTGAAATCAGTCACCAGTAAATCTTTGTCAACTCTTCCCTTTGATCCAAATTGGGCTCCACATTAAAGCTCCCATAATGTATGAGGTGAGATGTCCATGTGTTGTTTGATTATCAAGCAGGTCTAGGTTCTATACTAATACTGTAACTTTGTGATGTCACAACAAAGTGGTCATGGCTGTCAGCGATGCCCCAAAGCCCAACCCACCCAGACCCACCATCCAATCTTGCAGGATTTGGTTTCTCTAAGTCTTTACCTGAAATCTCCTATATATTTTAATTCAATCACTCAGAAAACAGTCAGCCAATAAGAAGAGAAGCTCAGAGCCTCTTCTCTTCTGATTGGCTCACCGACCTGTTGTTACTAGAGCTCCAGAGAGAAGCCTGAGAGAGGAGATTTAAAACTACACTGAGATGGTTTTTGGTTCTTAAAACCCCAAATATATCTTCTCATGGATCAACACTTCAAATAAAACACTGGAAAAGTGTAAAATATGGGACCTTTAAATGAAGCTGACAAGAAACAGAAATGATTATAAAGTATTGTTATGACACCAAATGAAGACATATCTCATATTTTATAGGTTATGTGTAAACAAATGTATATTTCTGTAGTTTACCAAAAAGTAATTCAGTTCTGTTATAAAACTCAAATATGAATCAAATTATTGAGGATTTAGGAGAATTATTGATCAGGGCCATTATGGCGCCTTAGGTCTCATTTCTTGTGTTATTTGTTTGTATTTGTCTTTGTTTCACCATTTATTGCCAGTTGATTAAAAGTATAATCATTCATTTGCTAGAAGAAGTCCAAGACATGATGGTGCGTGCAGCCAGATGGCACAGTTCATTTTCTGTGGGTTGCTTCAGGTTACGACTGAGCATAGAACTGAGGAGCATCAAGTACTAACCAAAAGATGAGATAATGGTGGACTGGTGCAGAGTCAGGAGGGGTAAGAGATGAGATAAAAATGAATGCACACCTGAGGCAGTTTCTGTGCTCCTGGGACCGGACCGGGTTTTGTTGCTGTGTTGTTGTTTTTTGTTAATTTTATTTGCAATAAAGCCTTCATCACATTAAACCCAGAAGACTGCTAGTGTTTTAGATGAGTTTGCAAATCATGTGATGAAGGATCTTAACTCATCCGGTCCAGATGAAGACTTCTTTTCTGTGTCATACCCTCGGTATCATCTGTTAGTTAGTGTCTTTACACGCGTGCCCTGTCCTGTTATCCTGGTTTCATTCAGGATATGATATAGAACATAACTTAATTATTCATATCTCTGTGTCACTCTAACATTATCAGGTTCATCTGTGGCTTTGCTGCCTCCACATTACAGTCAGCCTCTTGTCATCTTTGTCCTGAGGAGCAGCTTTTATTAGGAGACTTTCAAATGTGCAAACCATATTCATTTTCATTCTTTTGTTTTTCCTTAATTATTTGACAGAGGGTGTGGGTGTGAATCTTGTAGCAGGACAGGATCTTAGACAGACCGTCATTAACCTGGGCATGGACCAGTCAGCCAGACCAGGAGCAGCGGTGCACACAGGTGTGTTCACCTGCTAAATATCACTGCAACAGCTGCTGTTGTTACATAACTGCAACTGAAACTCGATGCTGGGTTTCATAGATTTTGTGGCTGCCTCTCAAAGCCTGCAGGAGAAAACATCTGGATTGAGGCTGATGTGCTGCCAATATCAAAACTATTACTTGTGTTAAACCGCCTGCTCATATTATCTGTACCTCGGTTTTAACTTATCCCAGATTTTATGCGACATAAGGTTACGCATGAGATCCTTCCACGGCAAATGAACCGCGGGAAAAGAGGCAGGTTATGTGAGAGTCAGTGTGTAGTCTCCTCTGAGTGTCAGCTGTTTTAAAACGTGGACGGGGGCACGCTGGTCTGGACGGCGACCACTCCAGCTGGTGGCGCCTGCAGCCCTGAGAGTAAGTAACGAGCCATTTAGTGGATTTCAGTTCAAAATCAGGTTTATAAGCACGAAAAAACACGAGACATGAAGGTGATAAAACAATGTTCAGCGTATTTGGAGAGGGTCCTCGGTCTCCAGGACTCCATCATTTCTAGAAACACAACCTGCTCTCTTCTCGCCCGCTCCATTCTTATGAATGCAGTCATTCATAATAACAGAAGGTGTCAATAATTCAGAAAGAAAAAAAAATGATGTTTTTCTTTTCAGTGTTTGTTTGTCCATATACTGTTTTGGCAGTGGGCACCGTGGACTGATAATTAACGTGCGTGGGAGGATTGTGCGCGTGTGATTGCGTGTGTGTCCGGGCGTGTGTGTTTAGCTACGAGAGAGAGAGGGGGAGCTGGTGGATGAGAGAGGGAGAGAGAGAGAGAGAGAGAGAGAGAGAGAGAGCTCTGTGAGCAGACTGGAGATCTCGCTCCGGTCCCTGATATTCGGACACTTTCAGCGCAGGAGCGTTGAGCAGAGCAGTAGACCACTACACTTTACTGAGGTCTCTCTCTTCTTCTTCTTCTTTTTTTTACAGATAGCATCTGATCCCAGACAGGTGCCTGTGTGGACCCGGGCTGTGAGGGGTGGGGGGAGAGAGAGAGGCATGAGGAGCGTGTCACAGACAGCTCGGCTCTAAAGCGGAGCGCAGTTATTTCACCGGTGCGTGCTGTGCCTCTGTAGCGCCTTCTCCTTCTCGCCTCCACATCTTGTTTTCAGGCTTGAGGAAACTATTAGCCCAAACCCTGCCTGGTATTTATCCGCAGGTGTGACCACATTTATTTATTTATTTTTTATTTTTTTTTAAAGTATGACATCAGTGCCGAGCGTGGGCTGGGTTATTCACATATCCAAAGACGGAATACCGGGATAGCCTATAAAGGAGTTAACGGAGTGCTTCTTTTACTACATCGCTGCCCTTTATGAGCAGCGACTGACGACTGTGTTTCTCTCTTTGTGTCTTTTCCTCTGAAATCCTGGAATGGGTGCCCAAGCAACAAGCGACCGTGGCTGCGTGCAGCGGCAGCAGCAGCAGCAGGAGCAGCAGCTCTGCGCACACTTAACGAGGGATAACGCATTGGTGAATCAGTCGCTGAGGTTGGTTTGTATGTTTGTGTGTGCATAAAGGCTCTACCTTGCGGGATTACACGGGTGTTATACCCCGACACCTGCCTTTATTCTCGGGTAAACGGGTGGTTCTCTGCGCTGGATCGAGGACAGGGAGGAACTCGGTTGTTGGATTTGTAAAACTATCCTAAAGTGCCTTGCACCTTGCAGTGGTTCTACATTTTATTTTCCCAGTCGGAGTCTGTGGCGGAGCTGCTTTGATTCAACTGTTCGCGGGAAGGGAGACAGATTAAATCATGGGGAGGCACTCTAATAACCTCCCCCAACTCAAACCATGTTTCACATTCCGGGTGTTGTGGATGGTTCAAGCCTTCCTGGACCTGGCCGGCTCCCAGGAGATTTACGCGCCGCACTCGATCCGGGTGGAAGGCGACGTGACGCTGGGGGGGCTCTTCCCGGTTCACGCCAGGGGGGTCCCGGGGATACCGTGCGGGGACATCAAGAAGGAGAACGGCATCCACCGGCTGGAGGCGATGATGTACGCCCTGGATCAGATTAACGGCGACGAAGATCTGTTGCCCAACGTCACCCTGGGCGCCCGGATCCTGGACACCTGCTCCCGGGACACATACGCGCTGGAGCAGTCGCTGACTTTCGTGCAGGCGCTCATCCAGAAGGACACGTCGGACGTGAGGTGCACCAACGGGGAGCCGCCGGTGTTTGTGAAGCCCGAGAAAGTTGTCGGGGTCATAGGAGCGTCGGCCAGCTCGGTGTCCATCATGGTGGCCAACATACTGCGCCTCTTTCAGGTAAGGAGCCGAGAGTTTGCGGAGTGTCTCTGTCTCTCCTCCTCGCTGTCACTCTGCGCCTCTGACAGACACACATCACCACGGTCAGACACAAGCTTCACCTTCTTATGTAACTCCACATTTCTCATGCGGGAGAGGAGATGTATAGGTGAGGGAGGGAGAAAATAAGATGGGTGGGTGGGTTGGAGGGGGGGGGTGAGTGGAGCCAGGTTCAGCTGCAGCTGGTCTTGTTCCACTACACTTACTGACCACGATACCCACATCCCATTTGCAACGGATTCCTCTACAACAGACCCCCCCCCCCTCCAATGCATTGCCTGCAGTGTGAGTCTGTGAGCTGGTTTTTTGTGGAGCAGCCTCTCGCAGTCGTGTGTGGCGTGGCTGTGAGGCTGGGTCAAGTTGGCACAGCAGGTGTGGTGACTGTAATGAATCCCGCAGAAGTGCACTACAATAGCAGTAACTGCACACCGCATGTTTCTGCTGAAATGATCCCAGCAGTGGTCAGAGTGTGTTCCTGTTTTGCTGTCTGTCCCTGCGGGAACAAGTACCAACCTGTGTACATACCCTGGTATCCATCAGACACAGGAGCCAGTTGTTTCATTCTCATCCTCTTCATAGATGCTGAGTCAAACTGGTCAGACACGCTGCGGGGTGTTGTTGGGGGTTAACATCATTACTGTCAGTGATTATGAAAAGACTGTTGTTGTTTGACTCGTGCTTTATCAGAACCAGGAGCAGAGCTCAAGCTGTACTTCAGTTTCAAGTTCACCCCCGTGATTGGTGTTTGTAGTGGCGGGAAGGTGTGTTGAGTGACGTCAGAGATGCTCTACGTGATGATTCATGATTTCTTTCCTGTTTAACTCTTGAATGAATGTGAATCTTTCCGTGACTTGTGTTTTTTTTATGTATTTGTGAATATTTATCGGCTGTATTTTGATGCTGTTAATCAGTGCATCACTTATGGTCAGTTTTTATTCATTAATTGACTCATTATAATAACAATTAATTACATTTAGTTGCAGTTTTTCTCTTACTAAAATATTCTTATTCCATTTGTTGCTTGTATTTAGTGTCGTAATGATGTTTTTTATGTTGCCCTCCTTTGAAAAAGGGGTTTTTAATCTCATCAAGGCTTTTTACCTGGTTAATTAAATACAAATGAATTAAGGCATGAAATGGATCTGGCTGATCCAGACGTCCTTAAAGTAAGCTTTTAGTCTAGAGGATGAAGTTTAGATCCGATCAGACAGACACTGAAGACAGAGAGAGAGAGAGAGAGAGAGAGAGAGAGAGAGAGGCGTAGGTGCAAGAGACATGAACAGAAGCACATACACACAGTTTATGAAGAGAGCGAGAGAGCTAAAGTGAAGATGTGAGAGAGAGGGAGGAGTGGTAGCTCCTCGGCTCTGTCTGCATGAGTGTGTGACTCTGCTCCTGTCCCTCCCTGTTTTATTTTCTGCCTCTTGTTGAACAAATCATCCTTCTCTCCTTCATCCTGCTAATGCCCCCACAACTCTTTACAAACTCTGAACATGTGTCATAATGAGAGGGAATTACTTTAAGTTAAAGACCTGCAACAGTCCTGTCTTTTTGAGTAAATTACATAGACAGTCACTTTGCTCCACTGTGAAGTGATCCTGGTCCCATTTTATGGTGTTTATTGCAGGGAAAACAAAGTCATTCTGGCTACACTACGTCACCCGTCATACACCCAAATGAGGTGTTGATTTACTCTTTAAGTCCTACATTTATTCAATTCTTCAAAATCTAGTACGACGTCCGGTGCCCTGACACGTGCACAGACCTGGCATTCAGTTGTATTTGCTTCACTGAGGACGTGGGGTCCATTTTAACTTGGTCTCTTTAAAACTACGACCTTCAACTGAATGAAATCCAGACACTGTCCCGTCATTTTATGGACAGTTAAAGATACTTTTTAGTTATTTATTTATTTCCGAGCCTCAGCTTAGTAACTTTTGTGAGCTTTGCAGAGCTTTGGCTTTCAGGCCGGCCTAACTCTCACCAGTGGAAAGCTGATTTTGAAAGGAATTTAATGTCCAGGAAGCTTCAGAATTTAATGGCGGCTAAGCTCCGGATGTTTTTAATAACAGGCACTGAAAGGTTCTTTCACACTGGGGGCTGAAAGTGTTTCTTCTGTCCCAAATTTTTCAGGGCATGCAGCAAGACGATGCTGACTTTTTCCCGTCCATATTGTGTGTGCATGAGTATGCATGATTGCCTTTTGTGATATTAAATTCTTTCACAAGTGAAAAGAATGAATGAAATCAATTCTTACAGCCTCATTTGTCCATGAAGCCCATTGGGTTTTCAACATGTCCTCCAATTATAAGTCCATATAAGTCGTTTGTCCCTGTACTTTCTGATACGATCCTTAACAGGGCACCAGTGGCAGGTGTATGGGATGTTCATCATTGCCACGGCGACGATAATAAAGGTTGTGGAACGGTCGCGGTTTGATTACATTTAGAAAAACTTGGGAACTTAGGAAAAGACGGTGGATAAAAGAAGCACTTCCTTATGGTTTCGAGGACCTTTGTTGTCAAGGTAACAGAAATAAACGCAGTTAAAGTTGTGGGACTGTCGTGGATGAAAGAAACTGTCAGTTTCAATCAGTTTGAAGTCTGAACAGTTAATGGCAATGTTAACAACCTGCCAAATAATTCAGCAGGTATCAGACTAATTTGAATTCGTCTCGCACATAAACGTACAGAGGAGATTTGTGCAGGTGGAGCTGAGCGGTAAACGGCTCAGACGATGATGAAAAAAGGGAGGTGTGGTCATCAGACAGCCAGGAAGCCAAAGCTGGTTTCGGCTTCCCTGCAATGCAACACTGAGTGGAATGAAATGCGGGGGGGGGGGTAATTATTTTCCCCTGTGATAGAAAAGTCATCTGTTCCACAGCTGTTTTCACTTCATTACACCCCTGATGTTCATAAATGGCCTAGTTGGCATCACAGTCACACAACAAACACATTAAGGCTTCACTCTCTGGTCTGCCAGGTCAGAGCCTACAAAATGGTTTTTACTGCACATGTCGGACAGTCTTGCAGCAGTTAACGGGAGTGTTTACCTGATGAGCGGGAAATCCTTTTCTTTCTTTTTTTTTCCCATCCTCTCATTGTTTAGGGATACAGTGTTTTTTTGTTGTTTTTTTTTATGATTTCTGTGGCCAAAAATACCAGGGTTAAAAATCTTGGCATGGCATTAATGAAACTTTAATTAAACAGTTATAGCGCTCACCATCAATATCCCAGCAGGCACTGCACATCGATGTGACGTCAGAAAGACGTTAAACTTTGGTTGACGTCAAAACCAAATATTGGCTAATTGATATTGTTTTATTCATGACTAAAATGTTGGTCTTTTATAATTCGAGACATCGGCTTGAGATATTTCCAAGACGTTGGATTTGGTTACTTAGCAACAAAACATTAGCACCAGCTATCGTCAGTATTCTACTGAAAAACGCTTAGAGCGGAAACAGTAAGTTTAAGTTTTTGAGTAGTGGTTGGACAAAATGAGCCATTTAAAGAAGCCTGGGAAATTATAATGAGCTTTTTTTTTTGAGAGAGAAAACAGTTAATCAGTTAATCAGAAAATAATCAGCGGATTACCTAATAATGAAACTAAGTGTTAGTTGTAGCCCTGAAGCCAGCACACCTCTAATCATTACCTGCCTCACGCCGTTTGACTCACATCTCATCAAGTCTTTTTACTTCCCCTTCTTCTTTGTCTTGTTTACCTCTTTCCCCGTCTGTGTGTCTTTCCCTTCCTTCCCCTCCCTCTCTCTGTGGGTGTGCTTCATTAGGCCATAACACCGGGCGACTCAGCACAGGTGCACACCGAGGAGAAGCTCCAGGGTCATTAAACTCCCCCTGTCATGGCACATAATGGAGCGTACCCCCTGTGTTAGCCATAAATTTTAGTGAGCATGAGAGCATAATGAAAATAGAACAGCTCCCCATCCCTTCTCCTATAAAACAAAAGAAAGAAATAATAACGCGGCTGCACAGTCGCAGCGGCTTTTAATGAGTAGGGGTCTTGTTTTTAATCGAGAGGGTGGGTGTGCCACATCATTAGAGTGGTGGGTGGGGGTTTGGGTGCTTTCAAAAGATAAATCACGATTGGATATGTTTTGTGGGAGTGGTGATGGGAGTTAATGGGCGGGATGTAAGCCACAGCTCATTAGGTACATACAGTGTATTACAGCTCCACCATATGTGACGATATTAATGTCGATAATGGGCCGTCGGCGCTCGTATTAGAGAAAACACATGTAGGATCAGGATATCTTCACCGAGAACAAGGGATGCGACTTGGTTTGTTGCTTCTCTCACATTACGAGACAATTATACATTTAATTATGTGGTGATTACATTAAAAGTGCGAATCTAGTAGACTTTAGGATCTGAGGGAAAACACTGGAGGTTGGTTGGAAAACATTTGGCGGGATCACAGATGTGTCAGGTGGTTTATAACAGCGGTGTAAAGTGGGGGGAGATTTACTAAGCCTGTTGCAAATTACCGTAAGGGGCACAGAATTTTAGGCTAATTTTATAGAGCGGGTATTTACTGAAACTACAGATGCTGCAGTTCATCTGATTTGCATGAAGCGCAGATAAATAGGATCTGATGGCCGCCTGGTGCGACGTGTTGCACGTGTCTGGAGAGCAAAACAAAGTGCCGTGTGCTGCTGAAATGGTCGAAGTTGAAGTTGAAGTCTATTTTGATAATCGATTTGTTATTTGAGTAATAAAAATTCAACATTCAAAACATTCAAACTTCAAGACCCTGGCAGCAGGTTCGAAACCGAGAACCTTCTTGCTGTGGCGAGAAGAGGCGACAGTGCTAACCACTGTACCACTGTGCCACCTCTTTTTTGTTATGTTATAATTCAAGTATCATTTCATTGACAAAACAAACTCATCGATTATGTGAGAGCAGGCAGATAAATCAGTCATGGAAATAAGTGATATTTT